CTTGCATGGCTTTTAGCCGGAGTCTGCTCTGGAATGACTCCTTCTGTGTAGTTCTGAGGCGGCTGCTCTGGCGTCGGTTTCTTGGAAAGCAATGTCCTTCAACTTCAACCTCATACGAGCATCGGCCAAAGGAACGGATGCAGCGCCCCAAACTCCATTTCTGTTCACCTGGCAACCTCATACGCATGGCGTCCCCAACCTGCAGAGGAGCAAGGCTCTTTGTCCCTCTGTTGTATTGCCTACATTGCAATCGCTTGTTTGCCGCTAGGGTCTTCGCTGTTGCCCCTGGATCTCCACATGGCTTAAGGAGTTTTGCAGATGTCGGCAGTAACGTGCGGGTGCGTCTACCCATTAACCTTTGCACTGGAGAGGTGTCAAATCCCTCACTAGGGGTATTGCACCAATCTAGTATTGCGAACAATGGATCTTTCCCGTCTTCTCTTACTTTCAGTAACAGCCTCTTACAGGTTTTCACTAGTAGTATAGTGGGCCTTGATAGCACAATTACATATTCATATATTCATAAGTAATTATTCATACCGTGTAGGTGTACGAGGGGTTATTAGGGTTAGGGTTAGGGTTAGGGTTAAAATATTTAAAACATAGCGGTTATCTTTAAAAACAAAAGAATCCAAGATGGCGGCGGGATTAAGTACCAAAAAATTGAATGGACCCTATATTACGCGTTTGGGTATCGTGGGTTATTTTTGGTAACCGAATAAGTCTGTAAGCAAAAGAGGTATTTATAAGAATCCCAAAAGGTTTTCGTACACGTGTGGTATCGATTATAAATAAGCAAGGAATAGACAAGGTTAGTTAACCAAAAGTTTTTATTGTCATGCTAAATACAAGGTGCAAATTAAGAGTTCATAATAGCAGCTAAATGTTCTGGAAATGGTTCAGGCTTGTCATCTTTCTTAATGTCTTCTGTCTTTTTAGGTGCCACAAACACTTTATCCTCATCGCTGCTGCTTTGTTCATCTGCTAATTTTTTTCTGTAGAGCTGTTCACAATGTTGCGTGTAAGTGAGGAAAGCTTTCATGACATCTGCCTACAGTTTAAACAGTTGTTCATCTTCGTCATCTTCTACTTGTATAGGTTCGTGAGCCTGTATGTACTGGTTCTCATGCCTCTGCATTCGACAGTAGTCATCATACTCTGCATTTTGCTCTATGATGCGTAGTAAATCATCTAAAGCAACTCCACACCATCTAGGGTTGTCATCCAAATTTTCAAACATGCTGCTGTTTGTGCTGAGATGAGGTAAAATGTGTGAGTAAAGTCTTTTAATATAAACTTGACAGGTGTCAATCATCGATCTTGCTCGTCATCAGAACTATTGTACTCAGTGCTGTAGCCAGAGGAATCTCTGGGGGGGAGGTTTGTCTTCACAATAACGTACAAAGTCCAAGTAAGCCGTCATCACACCGTTGTAGACTTTGTTGAATTGTTTCTCGTCATCACTGATTCCGTAAAAATCATACAGCATGGAATGATGGATGCGGGATTTGATTTTGTCCAAATCATCCATCTTGGTTCGTTCGTCTACACAAGACAGGACTTCATTAAGTACCACACAGGCCTTGGATGGATAGTCTGGCAAGTCTTTACACGCCAGGCTGGTGTGCGCTGTGAAGTGGAACTTTGCCACCCGCTGTTGTTTGAAATTGAACAGCGGAGATACGAATAAAAGTATAAAACAGTTTCAAAATGGCGGTCGAAAATGCTATTTTGAACGCCGCTGAGGCTCTGCATCCACTACATAATGAAGTTGATAATTTGTTTTTGTTTAAAGAAGTGAAAACAGGTCTTACTTCAATGTTTGAAAAACACTGTGTGGGCCAAAGCTCTTTGAAACGAGCTAAGTTGTCACGAATTCCAGCATTAGCACTCCTCGAATGAGAAGTAAAGATGTGGCTAAAGATGCTCCATAGGCGCCTCAGTCCAAGAATGAAGGCCCGAAGCGCTTGGATCGTAGAGTTTAAATGGGCGATGTCCTGGGAAATTTTTCCCTTAATTTTACAGTGCAAAAAAGGCCCGTTCTGCTTATGGAGTTTCGTACAAAGAAGAAAACCACACAGATGTCATCTACTATCACCGAGAGAACAGACTTATTCGAGATTTTGGCAAATTATCCGAGCTAAGCAATGACTCAGTCCGAGAATTCCTAATGAAGAAGATTAAAAGAATAAGTAAGGGAACTTCAAAAGTTTCCATAAGTTCTGAAACTCCTTTCACCATCACATTTTACCAAGAGGACACAGCAAGTAGTGGTGAAAGCTCACTACAAATTCACCAATGAATTTGCCCACACCTTTTCGTAGGCATACAAGTCATGAAAACTAGACGGAATGGAGTATATTCCAGGCTGTTTGTAATTATAAGTTGTCCTAACATTAGGCACTCAGCTGATTTAAAGTTTCTTACCTTGCCTTAATTGTACTCCACTCTGCACAGTTACCAATAAATCCTATTAAAATACCAAAGACTTGCATTATCAATATTGGAAATAATGTTGGAATGCCATTCAGTTTGATTTGTTTTGTTGGGTCAAATTTTAATCAAAACCACACAACAGAAGGGTGATCGAAGTGTAATTTATTCAAACACTATCTTAAAGGTCCTAACTGCCACCAATACAATATCATAATATAATCTCAAGTCAACAGCGATTTTGAGTCAGACTGTGTACAGATTTAGCATTGATTACAAAAGCTGTGGAGCAATCTTTCCATCCTTGACACTATGCTCTATAAATTTCATGATTGGGTCCCCACAAAAGCAGCACCTAGCATCCTCACGACATGCTTTTAACAGACCACAGTAACAATAAGATGGATCACTGAATACCCTTTCTGGGATGTAGGCTACATTTTTGCAAGCAGATTCTGGCTGCTGAAAAGCATGCTGAGGCAGCCAATTCAGCATCACATATTCATGTCTAAATATTTCAACCCATCTGTTTTGATATGTTTTAATTTCACTTAATTTTTTCAGAAACACATGCTTTGCTTCTCCCCCTTCCATTGTTACCATTCCCAACCCCTGCCCATACTTTTCAAGCATTTGACGACAATGAGTGGGGACAATGTGACTCAATGTCCAGACAGTAGGATTTACAGACCTTGGCAAGAGCAATGAATTTACTTTAAAATGCTCATAGCAGGCAATAGAAAGCTGATCAACCTGGTCTAATGTTATTGCGAATCTATTAAAGAGAGAAACACAGTCTCTCAGTCTCACATCTAAATAAGCTAAAGCAAGAACTGTTTGATGTTCTTTCCTGGAGTCACTTTCACAGGTAAGCCACTTGATTAATCTCATGAAATTATGAAAAAAACAACAGGAATCTTTTCCAGTAAATCTGTAATGCAAATCAGCACCAGACCCTTGAGTTTCATTGAACCATTGATTTGTCTTGTTTGCAATGCGCCTGGTCTTTACTTTTGTTTGTAAAGCTGTAATTACTCGTGCGAAAGGGCTATCAGGTGGGACCTCTGAAAACTTTTTACAATCAGCTGGCAGCTTAGATTTTCTTATAGCTTCTGTCAAAACTGCTTTAAAAAGGTACTGCCAAGCATTGTTCTTCAGATGAAGGGGTTCCACATGAGCTTTATCAATATAAGAACTTAATAGAGGCAAAAATTCTTGTGTACTACTTTGTTTGGCAATGAAATCTGTGATTTTAGATCTCTTTGTCTTCGCAGAAGTTTTTTAAGTGCTACTCTTTTTTTAAATGCTTCAACCTTGTTGATAACATTTACTCTTTGGTGGTAATTCCATCGCTTCCACTTGTTTGACCTGTCAGTTCCAAATGTACCCTTTACATCCCTACAATCAGCTAATGAAACATTTGCAAAGGGCGAGAAATACTTAGCACTAATAGTCAATTCACCTGCCAACATGGCAAGCATCTTCATGTCATTTGGCAATTCCTCCAACTTAAACCTAAATTTGATAAGTAAGTAAGTAGTTTATTTATGCACTTTTCACTATTGAGTATAAATCGTTTTAATGTGAACATGCCAGGTTAAAATAATATATAATTATAACAAGGTAGACGATGATAATAGTAGTAATAAAAAGGAACTATAAAATCGTATGGGAATCATGATGCATATATAGGAAATAAATAGGAATCAATAAGACTAAGAGAGAACAAGCTAGGGATAAAATAAACTATGTACAAGAGTTGCATTCACACTCCACACTGGTAGTCAAGTTGACCTCGTCCAGCATTGATTTAAAAATATAAAGAGAAGGAGCTCTTCTTGCATAATCAGGTAGATTATTCCATAATCTTGTAGTGACGTATTGATATGACCTATGCATGAATCTGCTAAAATAAGTAGGCTGATCAAGCTTGCAGAAGCCTCTGAGGTCATGTTTATTATTACAAAATAAAAACATCTCCCTAATATTATTCGGCCCCATGTTATATAAAAAAGGCAGAGAGCATGAGCATATCTGCGATGCTCTAGGGTCGTCAGTCCCATATGGTCAAGTAAGGTACTATATGAGTTTGACTTATCCATGTTTAAAAGAGTTCTAATGGCATACTGATTAGTGAGCTCCAGTTTGTTAGAGAGGCCAGATGATAACCCAACTAAGATGAGATTGGAACTTCCAAGACCAGCATGGTCAGAACAGGTAAAACTAATGCTGCCAAAGGAGTCCACAATCATTATAATGAATACAAAGAATTCCACTCAAGGGAACTTGAAGCACACATCTGTGCCTCTTTCATGACATTTTGTGAAAAGTCCAGCATTGATGGTAAGTATGTAAACATTTTTGTTACATAATTTTAATTATCACACCTAGTTTTTTCTTTGTTGTACTTGCAGATAAGCCAACTTTAAACTTTCCTGAGCCACATTGTTCAAGACAAACTAAGATGGAATGGCTACTTTAATTATGTAAAGATTATGTGATGGAGTTTGTATTGGCAGCTGGTGTCAATGTACTTGTGAACAAGACGACTGAACTTGAAAGAAGGGCGAATGAGGGGTTTGCATGTCGATTTCAAGGCTGCATGGCAACATTCACATACCATTCAAGAAGAGTTAGGTAAATCATGAAAGAGTAGTAAATAGACAAAATCTAAATAAACAAAATATATTTTTTTTCTAATTTTATTAATATTCACAGGCATGAGCTTGAAAAACACAACCTTCATCTATTGCCCCCATTTGAAGGTGATGAATTTGGCTACTACATTTGCCGAAGTAACTGTGGCTTGTGCTTTAAAACGAAATCAACTAGAAATAGGTCAGTATGATTGAAACAATGAGTGTTTTTCAAAAACTTGTGCAATACTTTGTAGCATTTAACATATTCATCACAGGTTTGTTTAATATTCAATGGTTTTGCCTACTTTATTGCTTTGCAGGATATATATTTCACCACTTTATGCTATATTGAGTAACCAAATTATTAAAGTTCTTTTGGTATTTTTCTGCCATGCTTAACTGAGTGCTAACACTGATCTGGGTTCTTCAAATGTGAAGAAAGTTTGTTTAAAAAATTGTAATTTTCATTCCACTTTTGATACCATAATTGGGTAATAGTATTCCTTAGAAAAGCATTCAAAACCAGTCATTATTATTTATAGGCATGAGAAACAGATTCATCCTGGGACTTCATATCCATTTGCAAGTTCAAGTTGAATTGCTGACACTAAAGAGAAGCCAAAGGAAGACTACTTATACAATTATCATCAAAGTAGACTGGCCTTTGGTCTGTTAATAATGGCATTCGAAGATGCAGTGAAGGAAGGTGATGGCCAGCGTTTATGTGACATTTACAGAGTTGCACTTTTACTCTATAAATTACACAATCACTACAAATATTCCTATGTTGTTCTCCTTTTCTTGGTAAATTTAAATGCCTTGCTCCCAAAATTTGAGGCTGAGCGACTCAAATGGAACCGATTTTATAACATTAATGGTGGAAAAGGCTGCAACATATCCCTTGAGTTAAAGAAAGAGCACCAGAATTGTCTACTGAAGAAGATGTGGCTTGCTCTTGGACCAAATCTTGATGAAACGAATGCAGCCCGGCTGGCTGGAACACTTGATGCGGTTGAAACTATCATTAGAAATGTTGACAGTGATTGTTCATTGAAGAAGACAAGTTCTTATAGGTCAGAAGCAATGAAGAGTGAAGCTGTTTCTCAGATTCTGGATGATCTGTTACAAATAAAGACCTTCACGTATACACCTGGAAGGGAAGGTCACCCCTCCTTCCCACAAAAGAGTTCAAATTTAGTCAAGGGCTTGGACTTTAGAGACCTTCATTGTTGGATGAAAGAACATTTGAAATCATGGAAAACAGCATGCACTTTGGAATGAATTTTGCACATATGCACATTTATATTTTAGATGGATATTACCTGGTGTTATGAGACTCGATCATTATGATATGTCAGAGAAAAACATTCAAATAAACATTCAAATAATATTTACATTAACTATGGGTATTAGATATCAAACATATTCACAATATTTACATAGATGTTTATCAAACTGTCACATTTGTAGCTAAAAGATGTCTGGACATAATATGATCAATAAATGATTCATACGAAAGTTTTAAAATTGGAATATAACCATTTCAAAAAAAATTTAAAGAGGGTATATTGTGGTGAATGAGTGATATAATATTTTCTCAAAATGCTGACTGAAAAAACAAAAATACCCCAGAGAACATATTTGAATTGTTCAAAATATCAATTGGAATTATTGGATATTCTGAAGTATTATTGTTGTTTGGTCAGCATTCTAAGAAATTGTTTTAACACACCCTCAGGTATTTGCAGCACCTGGTTTTGTTGGCCACTTCTGAGAAATATTTTAGTTTTTTTTTAAGGTAAATAGTTAGGTTTTCTAGCCATATTTCACCAACCTTAGCAAGGCACCTTTCATGACATGGTAATCATATCAGAGTGGAAATACCTGCTAAATGAACTAAGACCTACCAAATAAAAGCTCAGTCTATATTTCCTCAATTGGTTCATTATCTGACCATTCATCACCACTTGAATCACCAACATCATCAAATTCTTGTAACACATCAAAATCGAGGGCGTCAAATGTCAAGAAGTGTTCATGCTTTAACATAGCCATTGTCTCATCAAAATTGGGAATATCAAGAGATATTTCTTGGATGATTTCAAGGATTGCAACAGCATGACCCACAGAGTACACTGCACATTTATTCCAAATATCATCTACAGTGAATAGCAAAGCACAAGATTCCACAACATCATCAGTGAGCTCTTCAGAAAAACCATGTGCTATGATAGGATCAAACAACGACTTGCTTGCTGACATTTCACGTCGTAACTCTTCCAGGCTTGAAGGCAGATCCTTTTTGTCGTCTTCACAGACTGACCTTGTCAGAAAAGGTGGGGGAGTAGTGTTCTCTACCATTGTTGTGTAAATGGGTGAATAATTCCACGATTCACCCTCGCATTTACATGATTTAGCACAGTGTGAGCAGCATATATGATCAGGCTCAAGCGATTTAATACTTGGATCAAAAAGTGTGTATGCCAATATACGGTGACAATTTTCAGCTCTGACAAACTCTTTAACATCCTTGCTGCAGTGGATAAGTTGTTGCCCATGATAAATAATGATGTTATGGCTCTGTATTCCATCACGTCCAGCTCGACCAGCTTCCTGGAGTTGGTCTAGCAAGTTCCTGGCCGGGCCCCAATTAATAACATACCTGACATCAGGAAAGTTAACCCCCATACTTAGGGCAGATGATGCTACTACCACTCTGATTCTACCATCTCCCTTCAGTGACTCCATTATCTGCTCCTTCTGGTGTGACCAGGTATTGGAATGGAAAATTCCAATCAAACAATTTTTCCCTTGGCATGAGCTGGTTGGGAAATAGGCCTTTCCACCAAGTTTCATGAGCAGGTAATTGACAACTCGTGCTATATCATTCATGGTGTTGCAAAATATGATGCTTTTATCTGTTGCAACATTCTTTAACATCAGTTCTTCTATCAGCCAATCAAGCCTTGAAAAGGCATCATCCTTTTTTTGGTGGAAGACATGAAATCTTACATTTGTGCGATTGGGACTGATAGATATAATCAGGGGGTCTTTCATTGCCAGTGATGAACAGATGATATTTTTTGTGTCGTCATCGGCTGTGCCTGTCAAGGCTGCAATGGGGATTTCTATAAAAATAAAATAAAACTTGTTCCTTTTTGAAAAACTTGTACATAAAAACAGTATGAATGGATATTTTCAGTTTTCTAAGTTATTCAGTATGAGGAAAACGAAGGCACAAACCTAGCCCAAAGAACGATCTCAAAGAAGACAGTTCGCCATAGGCGGAATGGAACGCTGTAGTCATTTCACTATTCTTGTCCTTTCTGACAAAAATACTGCAAATCAGTCTTAAAGAGAGAAGGAAAGTGCAAACCAACTGCCAAACTATAAGCTTGTTTTCACGGCTTTTTTTGGCGACGCAAATATCGGCAATTCAACTTTACCTACCTCAATCCCGTCCAGGTTTCTATAGTGTGGGATTCATCGACGATAACTGCAATAGTTCTTGCAATAAATCTCATGTCTTGTTTTAAAAAGTTTGTGAACTTTTTGTCTAGCGAGCTTTCGGCAGATGCATAAACAACATCTAAAAGTGATAGCTTTTCGAAATTGTCGAGTGCATCGACGAGATTACATCCAGTGAGACCAAAAGATTCTATTTCAAGAATCTGATCCTTAATAATACTCACTAAAGGAGTAATTACGATTACTAACGGCCGATGTTCGTCAAGGTTCTGGTCACATCGAGCAAGTAAAACCAACAGTTGAAAAATAAGATTCTTTCCAAAACCAGGCGGCAAAACTGCCACAAGGTCCTTCCTTTTAACGAATAACTGTTCCAATGCTTGGCACTGCTCTTCTTTTAAAGTAATTTTGTCGTTTAGGCACTCTTTTAAAACATATTTAAGCTTAATGTCGAAATCACAGTCGTCCGCCATTTTCTAAAAGGTAGTCACCCTGACGACTGTTTACTTTGAGGGTTGATTGACAACGTGTTGCTCCCAGCCAATGGGAGTTTTTCATCCATATGAGATCGGAAATTTCGTTGGTTAGTGGGGGTCTGCGGCAAGCCCTCCCTCTCCCCTTGCCCCAATTCCCCTCCTCTCCTCTAGGGCTTGCTTCCCAATCCCCCCTCCTCTCCCCCAGGGCTTGCTTCGCAGGCCATTTTTGAGTGACCGCATGGTCCATGAGCAGACAACACTCCTCGAAATCAATTCTTTCTACTTCGTTTCGGCACAGGGGAATAAACAGTTCGTCTTGTTTTAAAATCTCGCAAACGAGTACCAGAAATATCCACACATCTCTATAGTCAGCGACGCAGGAAATCAGGTGATAACATATTTCTAAGGACGGTGTGTCTTCAAATCTTAAAATGGCATGCAGCAAGACGCGGGAGCGACCCATTTTGGTACAGGAATGTGTATCAAATTTATAGATCTCGTGAGGGCATAAATAGGTTTGGTAATATACTTCTTTGGGGTACAAATCGGGAAGCTCTTTACAACACTCCATCGGCACATAAATGACTACACACATTTCATTACAAACAAATTTATTGTTTCGCACCCTACTTCTCATAAAAATCGAATCTGTTCACACGGAAAAAATGATTAAACTAAAATGATCATCGTCTCAAATTAAACTAAAATGTTCATCGTCTCAAATGTTCACAGATGTGCCAACTGATTACTCATTCTCTTTCTCCGGCTCTTTTTCCCGTCTCCAGTTTCATACTCAAACGTTTTTCTACTATGTAGCGCAGTACCTTGTGCACGCCAGCCATTGCCACTCTCTTCTTTTCTACGTACAATTCATCATCGTCCACCTCGGGGAGCTCTTGTTGACTAATGTCTGCTTTGATGGATTCTAATATTTTGCCCTCATCTATGGATTCCTCTTTCTTCAGTATGTCTAAAATAGTGTCCAGCATAAGGTATATCTGCACAGGCATTAAGACTGTTTTCTTAATCAGGATGCCACACGAAGCCATTTCTCCCTCTTCTTTTTGTCAACTCTACTGGTAGAAAAGAGGACACCTCGTGGTTTGACTCTCACTCATATATACATCTTTAACCAACGACATCCATGAGACACACACAGAACGTGATACTCCTTTGTCATAGTGACATCACTTTACCTATCTTTGACAAAGCGATGCGACTCTGCTGTTTTTTTAAGCCACTCTGGGGAATATTTGTCACCTGTCAATGTTACCATTTCACTCATCACATCTGAATGGCTTAAGATGGGATTATGAAACGACGCAAACACTTCTGTCACAACGTCGACGAAAAAATCATTCCACCTTAAGCGCTCTCCCAACTTTTCAAACGCAACCTAATGTTTTAACATGTAAAGCTGCATGTGGCCTCCTATTGGATTTGGCCATGCGTTGACTTCTCGAACCGTCTCGTCAAATAATTTATTGCATGCATTCATGAATCTATACTTGGAGGCTGGGTCATCCATCTCGAGTACTGGTAATTTCTTCTCGAACACACCTTGTAAATACCGCAGAAAATAATACACCTTCATGTAATGACGCGATGTAGAAATGATTTCGTGGCGTCTCTTTAGACATAAGGGGTGGTTGAAATATCCCAAAATACTGCGTATGACTTCTCGGGGTCCACACACTTTTTTAGGTGCACACAAATCAAATAGATACTTGTTCTAGTACAGTAATTCACAATCGTTCAATATTCTCATGTCGCTCATGATGCGTTTGCTTTACCGTCCTTGCTACGAATGTTGAGAAACTGTCTATCACTCAAGTTTTTTAGGGAATATCTATCGGTCGTTCGTTGACGAGACGCCGTAAAGGGAATTGACATCTCTGGCAACAACTCCTAGAAAATAAGGCATATAATACCAACAAGATGTGCATTGATACCATATTTCTGCTGGTTTATAAGCGATTCCTTTACTCCAACTGACGTGTTTAGGCATCATTCGATTTTAAGTAAAGTAAACTTTTTGGTAATTTCTTGTATCCACTTTGGCAAATATACTTTTCTCAATTCTCTGATTTCTACTCTGTGCCACGCTTCTTTCTCTATCTCGTCAAACAATATACACCAATCGCATAGAACGCATTCGCATGACAAGTCTTTTTCGGAAGGCATCGCTAAAATGAATCAAGGGAGTACGAAACCAAAGATTTATATACGCTGTTTTATGACGGTTTGTCAATCAAAGTGACATTTTTTACGTTTATGTATAACCTAAACTTACCTTTTTACATTCATTTCAAACACCATGTCATCTAAAAAACAACTGTTCCTAGCTCATTTGGACCAAGAGATCGAAGAGAACCCCCAGTGGCTGGAGCCATCCTTGACAAATTATTTGCCATTGTAAAAGAAAAAGCTACCACACAAGATCTTTATGAAATACGTAGACAAGTGACTAAATACATTGATGAAATTGAAACCTATGATTCCAACGTGGGAGAACATTCTACTTTTCATCAATTGTACAAAGACATGATGACAGCTTTTCTAGCTTATGTCACATATTTACAAATCAAATACCGCGTTATGTGACAATAAAAACTGTAATATACAAATATTGGAGTTAATCCCACCACCATCTTGGATTCTTTTGTTCCCGTTGTTTTTGAGAAAACCGTTAAGGTTTTAAAAACCCTAATAACCCTAGCCTTAATTGTACTCCACTCTGCGCAGTTACCAATAAATCCTATTAAAATACCATAGACTTGCATTATCAATATTGGAAACACTGTTAAAATGCCATTCAGTTTGATTTGTTTTGTTGGGTCAAATTTTAATCAAAACCACACAACAGAAGGGTGATCAAAGTGTAATTTATTCAAACTATCTTAAAGGTCCTATCTGCTACCAATACAATATATCATATAATCTGAAGTCAACAGCGATTTTGAGTCAGACTTTGTACAGATTTAGCATTAATTACAAAAGCTGTGGAGCAATCTTTCCATCCTTAACACTATGCTCTATAAATTTCATGATTGGGTCCCCACAAAAACAGCACCTAGCATCCTCAGGACATGCTTTTAACAGACCACAATAACAATAAGATGGATCACTGAATACCCTTTCTGGGATGTAGGCTACATTTTTGCATGCAGATTCTGGCTGCTGAAAAGCATGCTGAGGCAGCCAAATCAGCATCACATATTCATGTCTAAATATTTCAACCCATCTCTTTTGATATGTTCTAATTTCACTTAATTTTTTCAGAAACACATGCTTTGCTTCTCGCGCTTCCATTGTTACCATTCCCAACCCCTGCCCATACTTTTCAAGCATTTCACGACAATGAGTGGGGTCAATGTGACCCAATGTCCAGACAGTAGGATTTACAGACCTTGGTAAGAACAATGAATTTACTTTAAAATACTCATAGCAGGCAATAGAAAGCTGATCAATCTGGTCTGATGTTATCTCCAATCTATTAAAGAGAGAAACACAGCCTCTCAGCCTCACACCTAAGTAAGCTAAAGCAAGAACTGTTTGATGTTCTTTCCTGGAGTCACTTTCACAGCTAAGCCACGTGATAAATCTCATGAAATTATGACAAAAACAACGGGAATCTTTTCCAGTAAATCTGTAATGCAAATCAGCTCCAGACCCTTGAGTTTCATTGAACCATTGTTTTGTCTTGTTTGCAAGGCGCCTGGTCTCTACTTCTGTTTGTAAAGCTGTAATTACTCTTGCAAAAGGGCTATCAGGTGGGACCTCTGAAAACTTTTTACAATCAGCTGGCAGCTTAGATTTTCTTATAGCTTCTATCAAAACTGCTTTAAAAAAATACTGCCAAGCATTGTTCTTCAGATGAAGGAGCTCCACATGAGCTTTGTCAATATAAGAACCTAATAGAGGCAAAAATTCTTGTCTACTACTTTGTTTGGCAATGAAATCTGTGATTTTAGATCTCTTTGTCTTCGCAGAAATTTTTTCAAGAGCTACTCTTTTTTTAGATGCTTCAACCTTGTTGACAACATTTACTCTTTGCTGGTAATTCCATGGCTTCCACTTGTTTGACCTGTCAGTTCCAAATGTACCCTTCACATCCCTACAATCAGCTAATGAAACATTTGCAAAGGGCGAGAAATACTTAGCACTAATAGTCAATTCACATGCCAACATGGCAAGCATCTTCATGTCATTTGCCAATTCCTCCAGCTTAAACCTAAATTTAATGCCTTCAAATTCATACTCGGTTCTTTCTAACTCTGCAATTTGTGGTAATAATGACCTCACATATTTCTTTGTAACAGGAGAACTTTCATCACAGTTGGCACCAAAAATTAGAAAGTTATCATAACTTGATGCCACCCTTCTTCCAACATTGAGGAAGCTGACCAAGAAAGAACATGCGCTCTCATTCTTGCCAAATGGGCATCCATCACCACCAAGAGCAATTTGAAAAGTGCCTGTTGATTCTGTAAAGTCTTTGAAGCTTTGTTTTATATTCTTAGAGAGATAAAATTTGACAAGCATTGGAAGGTATTGTCTTAAGTCTCTATATGCACCATTCACTGGGTTTTCAGTTTCTAAGCCCTCTAGATAGTCTAGGTCAATTTCATGAACAGTTCCAATATCAATCTTTTTTAACTGTTCCACAAGGTTACTATAAGTGAGAAACTTTGGTACCTTACAGCCTTTACAAATTGAAATGTTTGTTCTTTTCCCTTATTTACTTTCATTTGATTTCATTGAAAGCACCAGTCTAACACTTTTGTACTTTCGTTTTCCCAGTACACCACTTGCAAGATATGTTGCAATACTTCATATAATGTTGTCATCTGACTTTTCAAATTTTAAAACATTTTTCTTGTATTCTTTAGAAACTACTCTATCAGTCAACTGCTTGTTCCCGGTCACATAACTTGTGAGAGTATCCAGTTTGCATCTTCCCTGCAAAGTGTCAAACAATCCCTCAAAACTGGCTGAAGAATGTTCATTTGTGCTTCCATGAATTCTGGCAGCAGCTTCAATGCTCTCATGCCTCCTTTTCCTTGCAATTCTTGGTCCCAATGTTGATTGTCCATCAGCAAGTGCAGTAGGGCTTCTTGTTTGTGACTGAGATACCTGTCCCTCATGTGTCTAAAACTATCACTAACTGATTAGACACTGGGTAGTAACAAATTTATTAAAACAAGAAGTGGTTGAATAAGACCAAAATTGTAAACATTATAGATCTGAACACAACAATTGTATCTCACCATATCTTACATTTGATATTTTGGTGTTTATAGTTTAGAGACACCATCATTTATGAGAGTCTTCTGACTGACCAAATGAACACAGGCACACACTCAGGTTTCTTGCCCAGGCACTGGCATAGAAGCCTGGCACTGACTGTCATTCTGGTACTGGCTCTGTTTTAAGTGGCCAGTCCACCAAAATTTAACTTGTAAAAATAATTCTTCTCCTCACAAAATTGAATATGTTTCCATTAATGTTTTTATCAAGAATTGGCATAAAATTGTATCTATCCACTAATTAATGAAAATCTAAAGTCAGAAGTTGTGCACAGCAGTTTTTTGCTGCACAATTACCGGTACTGGTAAAACAACCACAATGAGGAATCAAGAGTATACTCACAGTAATATTTTCTAACTCATTTGTTATGTCCTTGCATCGTTCCCTTACTGTGGCCAACTGAAAGCATCAATTAAACATGTCATTTCTTATGAACTGATTGGTTAAGTTTTAAAGTTCACATAAAGTTCAAAGAGATAAAAAAAGCTACACAAATATTTGTGTAGGGAGGTACAGGGGGATGTACAAACCATTACCCAGTTTATAATTAAAACTGTTATTATTATTATCATTATTATTATTTTTAATTTCCTACCTTGTCAAAATTGAAATACAAGCCTCCTTGTACTTGCACTTCCACCACTTGCCTAAAATACCTTGATACAAAATTCTCTAATATTCGAAATATAAAACATTCTCAAAGCACCACTACTAATTTACGTTAAAATGACAAATTAAATAAGTTATCTCGCCTTTTCCTGGGCTCGTTGGACTTTTTTGTATTCTGCCTGTAGCTTGCGATTTTTTCATTAACAGCTTTCTCTCTTGCAACCTTCCGATCTTTCATGTATTGAGCCAAGTTAAAGCGCGTGTTCTCATAGTGCGCGCCAGCCCGGCGTAAAAATGTGAACCACGAACAGCATATTCGCGTAGAAGACTCCAAGTGAGATGTTTTCAGGCAACAGGTGGCTACTGATCCAGAGATACAAGGGCTTATTAGTGTCATCAAGCAAGGTTGGCCTGAAAAGAAGTGTTGCTCACCACTTGTCTGCCCTTATCATGACAAACGTTGTGAACTTATCGAGTCAGAGGGCTTGGTTTTCCGTGGCAAACAGTTAGTAGTTCCTCGATGACTTAGAAAGGACATGTTGAATCAGACGAACGTTGTGAACTTATTGAGTGAGAGGGCTTGGTTTTCCATATTGGTTTTCCATATTGGGCGTAAGGACAGCAGAGTGACATTAACTCTCAAAAAAGAAACAACAACTTTGAGTTTAAATTTACAAGACATGTTTCGACATTCTCATGTCATCGTCAGTTGCAAATGAGCATTTAACTGTTGTACATTTGAATTTCTATTAAGGTACGTTATAAACTACGTGTCAGGGCTTACGTTACATTTTAATGTTAAAAACGTGCAAAATGTAAATAGCGCGCGCTTTGCTTCTGTGAGCCTAGTAACCATCTCCTCAACAGTTGGCATTTAATAATGTTCACGACGTATGGCTCTATTTAAGTCACGTGGGTCCAGGGATATGCGCAGCTTGTTAGGCGTTACCACCACTAACATACTCGACACCCATTCCGTAGGCTCACTGACTAGTGCAATTATGTCATTGGCGACCATTTCATCCACCTTATTCTAGATCTGCTCTCGAAGAGCAACTGGTACACGACGGGGGGATGCACCACTGGCGGAACTGTATAAAATGCTGGATAAAATGCTGCCAGAGGATATAGTGGCCATCATTCCACATGTACCTACAGAATAAGACATTGGTTATTACTATCAATCACTAAATCAAACTACTTCCTTATCGTAGTTTACACCTAAATCATTATATGAATTCTGTAAATGTAATGTTGTTTTGAATAACTAAGGAAATGTAAATCCACCCAAGTTTTCAAGGGAGTTCCCAATCACAACCCCCCTCCTTACGTAAAAATCTTATTGTTTGTAACCATAGTAACCATGTTAGCTAATGTTATCTAGTCAAAATACCAATAATTCTAGCTTGACTATATTATTTCACCTCTTACTAAAAGCAAGGGAAATGTTTGACTCTGTTGTCAATTATATGAATAAATCATACAATTTCTAACATGGATGCATTGAAAGTGCAAATTTTATTCTGTGAAATTATATCTCTACAATAATAGTTTCAAATATATCGACTTACCGAGTACATGTACCATGACCAGAGCTGTAGACACAATTTCTTGTAGTCTTAATGAGATGGGGAGCATCAGAACAAAAATATATGAACCTGTCGGGTGCATAGAGGTTCACAGTGCGATAGCACACATCAGTTCCAGCATTACCATCAAGAGCTTTGTGCATTCTGTACAATGCTCGGTTGGGTGACGCTCCATCTGATGTACTTGCAATCACCCAAAGATTACAAGCTAACTCAAGCACACATACTGCTTGCCAAAACAATGGCATAAGCTGATAAGATGTAATCCCATCGGTGGCAAAATAGGCTAAGCTGAACTTCAACTCAGTACAGAGACCTCTGATATAAAAGACCATAGCATGGCTTGCAATCTTGTCAGCTTTTTCAAGTGTTCCAAAGTTTATATCAGGATCTCCCAGGTCAAGGAAACCAGTTAGTTCCCCAGATACTTTGTCAAATACCAGATTTGACAAAATTTTCATTTCGTCAAAAAGGAGCACAATGTATCGTTGCACATCGAAGTAGCTGTTTGTAAGAACATTCAACTCCTCAAGTACTTCCTCTTGAATGCCAGCTTTGGGTCGTATACAATTTCTATAGTCCTTCAATGTGCGTTGGCTCGGCAGTACAAGGATGTTACTTTTCCTGAGCTCTTCATAGCATGCTGGGGACTTGGTAGCAAGTGACAAGCAGTATCGAATGATCATAGGATGGTATCGGACACCAGTTTTACTCTTTGTCATCAATTTCTTTTGCTGCTGCCAGAACAGATCCATGAATGGAGTGATATTTTCATTGGATGTCCCCAATATACTTGTAATGTCATTGCTTAACTGGTTGTCTACTTCTACACTTGACTTTTCTATCTCTGATTTCATTTCTTCAAGCTTTCGTTCTAGTTCTGCACACTTAAGCCTCTGTGTTTTTAGGGTTAGCTTTATTCTCTCTGGTGTTGTGTGAGAGACTGGAGCAAACAAATGAGCAGGCTTTGCAAGCTTTCTTTGCTTTGCTTTCTGATCCACCTCTGACTTGTGAGAGTATTTGTAGCAAACACAGCACTGCTCACCATGCTCCACCAAAACTTCACAGTCCCGTGTTCTCCAATATTCCAGCTGTGGGAATATCTCAGAATCATCTCTGAATAACGGATCCACTGACTTCGGTATAATGTGGTGTACGATATCGGATGACAGTTCAAATGGTCTCACTCCAGGGCAAATCAAGAGAACATCAATTCTCTTGATAAGTTCAGAGACTGTGATGTTCATAACGGATCGCAAGGTTTCAAGATGAATCGCATGATCATCTGGCAGAAACCATCCAAACACAGACACAGAAAAACCAAGACTATCATCGATGGTGAGCTGAATCTTTGGTAACACAAGCAGAGAACTCTTCTTTGTCAATACAATTCGATCGATTGCTGCCTCTAAGATCCACTCACTTAGAATTTTCAAAGATTTCACTCGTTTTACTAGATCTTTAAAGTCACTGTAGCATTTTTTAGGGGCCACTTCTGGGATTTCGTTGACTGCGCTTCGAGGTGGACGCACATTTACTGGTGTTGTGAAGCTACGCTTCGGCATGTTTACTGTTGGCAAGGCACCAAACTTCGGTTTCTTTTTCTGCATCTTTTCAGATTGAACTAGAGTAGAAACAATCACAAACAAACAGAATCAGAATATAACGTTTGAAGTTTATCAAAGCTCAAGTTAATTGATAAGCTATGCACCTAAGCACCGCGCAGATTATGTCTAGGATCGCGTGTAGTTAAACTTATAAGATTGCATTTAATACTTACAAATCTCAATATCCTCGGGCCTAAAATGGTTTTCGCACGTAAAGACAC